TTCCATTTTTCCTACGTTTGGTTGTTTAATTCATATGAATACAATTTAGGATAATATATGTCTGTTAGTTAGTATTTATAATCAACCAATCAAATCTTTTGAATTTTGAGACGGGACAGATTACAATCCAGTATCAGACCAAAAATTTTTTTACCAATGACGCTTTACTGCAGACTTTTTATGATTTTCAACGAACTCAATTGTATCAAATTATCTATTCTAATGTAATTAAATTTAAAAAGCTATGATGTCATCCTCAGCTAAGAATAAACAGAAAGATATTTAAAAACAGTTCTAGGCCTACAGATAGGAATACTTAGTATTTTGTTGAACAATTTCGCATAACGCAGCCCTGAAAGCCATAACCTTATTTTTCGTTACGTATAATCAAAATATAGCAGCTGACTGGTGCAATTACTCCACCATAAAATGCCTGACCAGAATGACCACTGTTTGCTTTTCACTCAGACTCAGTTACCTGCCGCTCCTATTGACTCAGGAAAAAGAAAAGGTGTATTTTAAAAAGTGACCGGTACATTTTTTTTAGGGGGGGGGGGGAAGATTTGATTTAGGGGGGCAAAGCCCCCCCTTGGCTACGGGCCTGATCACATTAATGTACAGAAAAAAAGCTTTCGACTGATATCAAAATCTCATTTTCATAAAAAAAATTCATATTCGACGGTTCACCCTAGGCCTGTACATTTGGGAGAATCAAACCCTCCCTTCCCCGAAATCTAATACTGTCCGTGCCAGGCCAGATCAGACAATTTATTTTGACTTTGGTATATTTTATTTCATCTTATATATATTTTATTTTTTTTGTATATATTGTATATGTTAGGATTTTGACATTTGTTTCTCGTGCATATAACAAACTTTCTTCAACAAAATTTGCATTAATCTTTTAATCTAACCAAGTAAATTTAATTGCCATTATTTATGTTTTTCTTTCATGTAAATTATACTCCGAGATAATCCATCCATTTTAATTACTACTCGGGTATAATCAAAATTCAAAGTTAGTTCTAATCAATTTACAATTCACTAATCCCGCTTATTTTATCAAATATTTCTCATGTTTATTTATTTTATATTTTTGTATTCTTGATTTTTGATTATTTATGTTTTTCATTTATGTAAATTGTACTCTGAGATAATCTAATCCTCCTGAATTATTACTCAGATATAATCAAAATCTAATCCAATATTTTCTATAATCCTCAATTGATCAAAGATATGACTCAACTAATTAAGAAATCAAAAATAATCCTAATCCTCAACTGATCAAAGATATGACATAATTCACTCAATAATTTTTAGAAAATCAAAAACCTGTATTAACTGACTACTATATAAATTGCAAATTCAATCTCATTTCATAACAATTCCTCGACACTTGAAAAAGGATAATATTTCGAAAACCGGTTCGTGTCAATTGCGTAAGTTTTTGTTTTACTTGTTATAATTTTTCACATCATTGTTAGCGTTATTTATCACCTAAATATATATTATTTTTTTTTTTTTTTTTTTTTGGCATTTTTCATCTTCCTTTATATATCCCCAAACCCATTTTGACTTATTTGCATAATTTGATCCCAACATTTTCACGCTAGCATATACAGTTTCCTCCTGTTACATCCGCTGTACATTCCCTTTCTAACCCCAAGTTATTTTCATTATGCTCCCCAACTACAACAACCACTGGCAAGAAGCCAGACATAGAAACACTAATCGTCAACCAAACCAATATCACGTACCCTACAACGGTCCTGTCTTCCATCGACCTCTACCACCTACCAATCGCCGACCACCAACCAACCCATCCAGCTATATCCCACCCCATCTACCTACAACACAGCCTACCAATCAAGAGGTAACCATCGACCTGACCAACAACAGAAACGACTACCAGCCCACCGACGCCAACCAGTCCCCACTCATAAGGAAGAAGAACCCTTTGTGAAGGTGTTCTTCCAAGCTTTGCAGTGCCTCCATCATTTGGCAATCCTTACCCTTCAACAGCAAGGCCAATCAGCGTTTACCTTCAAACGCAAAGTCTCTGAGTTGGATAGTTTTATCCGTCCAGCCAAGAGAAGCTGACCACCATTCGTACCAAGTCTTTATCATCACCTGCCGTCGACCGCATCGTTTCTCATGCCCTGTCCTGGGCCCGTCGCTCCTATGGGAAACGTCTCACTCAAGCTGTAATCTCCAAATTCTACCAAACAATCAACGAAACAAAAACCAGAGTAACCATATCTCTACCAACTGAAATGGACACTACACCTGCACCATCTAGAGCCACCACACTGCCGAACCAAAACCCTAAACGAGCCCGAAGTTCACCTACTCCTAGTCCAGCAGACATAGGTAAACGCTCTCGTAGAGACGGCACACCTCTTCTCTTTTCACTTTCAGACGCGTCTTCCCCTTCCACACCATCTGAATCTTCACCACGTGATCCAGGATCCGCCAACCTTTCTTCCTTCTGTGCGTTTTTGGACCAGCAAACCACCCCTCAGTCTCCATCCGAGTCGAGACGTGTATCCAGACCTTCCCCCCCTCGAACCAGATCCCAGTCCGTTCCCAATGCTACAATTCTAACAACTACCAAACCAGTACCAGTAATCACACCGTCGACGACCATTATATCCGCTACCAAACCGTATTATCACCAAACCAAGGACAAATCATTATGGAAACCTGCTCTAAAGAAATCTACCTTAATAATTGGATCATCTAACCTGAATCGAATTACCAAAACCAGTTCAGACACCGAAATACATTCTTACCCCGGTGCCCAAATCCATCACATACAGTCAATCCTGGAATCATACGACCATGATCCCAAACCTACTACCATTATTCTTCATGTAGGCCTCAACAACCGTGATCAGATACCAAAGACCTCCTTTAACCAAGCCCAGAAATTAATCGCCACAGCAAACAAAACCTTCCCAAACTCCAAGATCCTCTTCACATGTATACCTATTTCGAATAAAATCTCGAAGAAAGCACAACAGAACCTCAGCACTCTCAACAACATGATGATGGAGTCCAGTATCAACAGCGCAACAATCTTACCACCCTACGAAGAAGAATTCGAATTTGATAATCTTCATTGGTCTCCAGAAACAGCAAACAGCATCTATTTGTTTTGGATACTTCAAGCATCGAGTAAGTCTTTAAACTAATTACTGGGGATAAAAATACTGAGAGGCCACCGCTAGGCCAAACTGTAGTTAACTTGAGCCGCAAAATCCTCACACCCCTTCAGCACTCAATCTTAGACCGTGGACTTAAGTTTATTCCCACACCAAAGATAGCTAACTTGAATTATCTCCGACCATCCATTGAACGATTTCAACGAAATCTTAGCTGTACATATTTTTTTTCGAAACCACACCCCACGTGGTGCTAGAACAATGTTTATTCCTAAATCCACGTGGACACCCCCCAGGCCGCCATCCATCCTGAAATATTGAAAGCATTTGCGAGTATGAATAGCCAAACAGTTAACCTTTCCATAACACACGAAAAGCCTAATCTCACACGAGTGGAACGTGAAGCGTTAAACTTACTTAAGAAAGACGATAGCATTGTTATTAAAAAGAGTGACAAAGGTTCATGTTGTGTCATTCTGAATAGGGAGGATTACGTTTCAGAAGCAGAGAATCAACTGAATAATCCTAAACATTATGCCATTTTACCGAAACCAATTTTCAAAGAAACTGCTAACATGATTAATAATATTCTTGCCGATTTAGTCAAAACTAGGTATCTCAAACAGAAACAATATGACTATCTGTCTGCCAAACCTGATTGTCACGAGAGACATTTGTACACTTTGCCTAAAATCCATAAGAATCCAACCAAGGAGTGGTTTATCTCGAATAAAATCCCTAAAGGCCGCCCGATTATATCTGACTGTGGTAGTGAGTCATATGTAGTGTCAGAATACATTGATCATTTCTTACTACCTCTAGCATACCAACATCGCGCCTACCTTAAAGACACAACCGATTTTGTCAATAAAATAAAAAATCTTCGAGTTCCCTCTAATGCTATTTTAATTTCTATCGACGTTTCTTCTATGTATACCAATATCGATAACACTACTGCTTTAACGGC